AGTTGATCTAGCTCTTTACTATAGGCATCCCAATTTTCTTCTGTGGCTTTGTGATAAAGAAAAATTCTTCTGGTTGGCCTTTTACTTTCTTTTTTTCTGCAGGTTACGATATCTAAGAATTTCACTTGTATCTATTTTTGTCTAGACAAGCTTGTAATCACTACCTATAGCTATATTAATATCTTTTATCGCTGCTTCTTTCAACATTACGCACATTTCTTCTTCTACCCAAATATAATCTATTCTTGAAGAAAATCTTCTTTGTGCCAGGTATATTCTCTTTTGTAAGGATTTAAATAACAGAACTATCTGTAAAATCTCTATTTTTAAGCCACTCTATTAGAGTTTTGCCCAGCCCCTGATTTTGGCGTTTTTTGCTATTTGTATCTAAATCTGTACAACCAAGTGCATTAAAGTCACCAATTATGCATATGTACGTATTGATCTTATTTCTACAGATCTCTTTAATTATTGTTCATTGTGTTTCTCTATTGGCTTTTTTATCTGTTGATGGCAGATATATTACCCAGACTTGTATAATTACTTTCCTAAAGAAGAACTCAACCTTAAGGACATATAGACTGAGTCTATCCACCCTGCCTATATGCTTTGACCAATGTTCGTTGATTAGTAAACCTACACCAGAGCCTTTATGCTTGTCTTCTTCTTTAGATAACCAAAAACTAATATATCCTGCTTGTTTTGTTTCAATCCATTTACCCTCCTTATTATCAATATTAGTTTCTGCGATCCCAATCATATCCAATCTATTTTTTTTCCCTATCTCAGCTAGTGCTAGCAGTTTTTGTTCGTTCAGTTTTAACCCATTAATGTTATGAAAACCTATCTTTAGTAAACTAAAATTCTCTATTTCTTTTGTTCTCTCATTTTGTTTTAGTATATTAGGCTTTTGTAAAGTAGGAATAAGATGCTTCTTCTTGCCTTTATTCTTTGATGCAACTGGGGCGAATTTTAGAAACATAATGCAAGCAGGTGCTCTATTGCAATGAACTTTTCTTGCATATCTATTAAGATTTTTTCAATATTCTCATTCTCTTTAATTTCTTTTTGCTTTCTCTTTTTTTCCCTAAGAGGCACTCTATTTGAACCAGTTGCAATGGCCTTTTCTGTGTGCTCTTGTTTATATCCTCTATAGTTCTTTATATCGTTTAAAGGTTTTCTAGTACTGCTATGAGAACAGGAGCTACTCCTTATTCTGTTATTCTGTTTGGTATGTGAATATTTAATTGCCTTTCTACCTTTTAGTATTTCTGGTTCATTTAATGATCGTTTTCCTCTGTTTTTACTTTTGTTTTCACTCTTGTACTGGAATGTAATATTATAAGGATTGTTTTTATTTGAGTTTACTCTAGGTGCATACTACTCAAGCTTAGTATAAAAGTAATATAGAGTGCAGTTTTGTGCTGAGATAAGATCTTCTTTTGTTTTGAAATATAATTGAGCTTTCTTTCTTGGATTTCCATTACTATTGCTCAATATATGTACTGCTTGTACTTTATATTTTTTGAGTTGTCGCAGAAGAAGACTATCATATACTAATGTTGGTATGTTTATAATTGTGCTTTTGAACTTATTTCTTGTTTCTAACTCAAAGATATCAAACTTGCCTGGTGTAATTCTATATGTCTTGCCCTGATCTAGATAAACTGACCAACTTTTCCTTAATGCTTTTTCTCTTTTTTCTGAGTTTGGTAGAACCTTGATGAAAGCTGCTTTTGTTCTAAAGTTTTGCTGTCATGCAATGATTGTTGCTGTGCCAAAAAACCCCAGATATGTTTTTAATATTGTTGAGTTTATTTCTTTTGGCAGATCCCATATTGTGCAGAAGTATGTTGAGAGGATGAGAGTTTTTTGCTGTAGCAACTTGCTCTTTGGGGCCCAGACTGAATTATATATATCTTTATACTGTTTAAGTTTTTTGCCATATTGAGTTGAGGTTTTTATTTCTGCTTGGGTTTTTCTTTTAATATACTTATTAAGACCGTAGTCAAGTACACCACACTCCTTTTGTGCTAGTATATCTTTAACCATCTCTACTTTATCATTCTCTATACTAGAAGATGTTTCTTGTTCGATAAGGTTTCGTTTGCAAGGGTTGTCTTGTGGTTCTTCTTCTATATTGTTCACTATGTTGTTAATTTCAATTAAGTGGGTTCAATTTTAACTGTGATGTTGTTGCTTTTCTGTAAGTGGCTTTTCTCTATCATATATATCAGCTTGTGATAAAGTGGTAATGGGGTATTCTAAAAGAAGTTTCTCTTCTATTGTTAAGATTTGATCTCTTGCTTTCTTGTATTGGGTATGATTGTAATGCTGTAGTACATTATGTATAATTGCAATAAGATAAATTTCATCAGTACCCAAGAATTTTGCCACTCTTCTATCTTCTTCCCATATGAAGGTACTTTGTTCTTTTTGTACAGCTACTCTTTCTTCTTTTGTTTTATTAAAGAAATTTTTGTAAATACTAAGTTCTGGCATTTTACATGTCATGTAATATTTGTTTATTTGTTTGGATTCACTACGTGTATGGTTGTATTGTTTTGTTGATTTAATATCTACTTACTATTTAGAGCTGTTTGTTTTTATTTGGTTATTTGTTTACTTCAGTCCGGGATATCTCCAAATTTGGCAGATAGCATTTTGTATAACAGATAGCGGTTTGGAATAATGAAGATTGATTCTAGAAAGATCTGTAAAATCTTATTGGCTCATAGTCATACTTTTTTGACATGAAATTTGAGCCCTTCATGATATCTATTAATAACTTATAATTATATACGTGAAAAGTAAAAAACTCAAAGTTTTATAATCAATAGAAAATCAATTATAATCAGTCTTGTTAGCAAAATAAATAAGACCTGAAAAAAAGGTAATTTCAAAGCTTATACTTCTTTGTTTCTTGAGTTTCTACACTTTTACTGGTATTTTAAATACTACAAAGACAGCAACATTCTTGAGTTATTTATATTATTTTAGTATTTACTTTATATTTAACAGAATTATTTATAATGTATAGCAGATGGCAGCAATTAATATGACAAATCTTACACTAGCTCAATAAGAATTTGAAAGTACATTTTGTCATTTTGATACTGATTCGTTGAATATATTAAATCTATACAAATTTAAGGCTGCTCTGGCTAGTTTAGGAATATTTTATAATATAGGCAATATTGTTTATTTTATTAATGTAAAAAACAAGTTGTTTCTCAAAGCATTAGAACAAAAAAAAATTCTAAATAATAGCCGCCAGTGCTGATCAATATAGTGGATCTGAAAAAGCAAAGTAATAAAGACACCTTGCAAGAATATCACTCCAACTTCCTTAGATTTTAGAAAGAATAATCTCAGATCAAATAGGAAGTAAAACAACACTTTGCAAAAGCAGCATGCTAGCTTTTTTGAATTTAGAGTCAGAGAGAGGAAATGTATTAACATTTGCACTTTGTAAAACTCTGAATTTTTTGTATGCTAATTCGAATAATCTTGGATTAGAAGAAAGGAGAGAATCTTGAATCAAGAGGTAATGTAACATATACACTTTATATTTTAATTTTTTCTTTATAATATTTTTTGTTTAATACTTAGATTTATTTTTTTTTTTAAATTCGCTGAAATATCAAATATATCAAGCATGAATTAGTGTCTTAGAAATATAGTAAGAAATATTTCCATATTTAGATTATATTGTATCAAATTATAGATTCAGTGTAATATACCTTTTTACCTGATTTCTGACGGTTTTCATATTTTTTACATGCTAACTTTAAAACAATTATCAAACTCTTAAAATACAAGTACTTTGTTCCTTGAAAAGCAAATAATTACTTAGGCTTTAAGTTGCTGCTACTAGCTCTATAATTTTCTATTTTAGAATACTAGCAAAATACGGAGTTTTTTTTTGTTGAAAAAAATTTTTTTTTTTTTAATCTTTAGAAGCATGACCTGTAATTTGTTCTTTGAAATTATCTAATTTTTATATTATTATTACTAGTTCCACGATTTTTTTACTATAGCATATTTTATTTTATTTTTTTAATTGAGGATATTATCCAAAGCTGCAATATACAGTAAAAAAATATGAGCCAAATGGGTACAGTATATAATAGATTTTTATTTGACTCTTTATCATAATACACTTATTCTAATTTAAAATTATTTATTAATAGAATCAAGTCAACATCAACAGCATAAATGATGACCAGCATACGAATTACCTGTGTATTGGCTTCTTCTGTTTCATTGCATAATGGTTCTGGATTGTTAGAATGTGAAACTAAAGAGCGACAAACAATACGTCATGCGGATAGTAAATTAGCAAAAAGTCGCCTTCCATTGTATAATAGTTTTTTTCCTGAATTAATTCAAATTCAAACACATTTAGAAGATTTTTCTTTATGTGAAAAGCATTATAACCAACTTGTTGTGTCCAATTTCTTACGACAAGTTCTTACAAATACAAATTATTCGCAATTATCTAAAAACAAACAAGTACATCATCTTGATTTTGAAAATAAATTAGTTGAAAAGCAGGCTCATATAGAGCATGCTTATGAAATAGAAGTTGAAAAAATACTTGCGAAATTGGCATTCAAACTGAAGAGACTAGTAATAAAATAACCTGTGAAATTGGCATACAAGTATCTAATAATATGTCACATCCCCTTATAAATTATATTAATCTACTTCAAGCGCAATTGAGTATAAAAATAGATGAGATAGAAAACCTTCAAAAGCAATTAGAATATACATATGATTATGTAATCAAGAGTTGGAGATGAATTCAAGAAATAAATAAAATAAATAAAGAGCTATCCAAACAAAATAATGCATTAAAATATAATTAGGAAAATCATTATAATAATCAAAAAAAAAGAATTGACTCGATAATTCAGATTGCAAATTATAAACAGCAAAATGTTTATAATGATATTGAATTATTAATTTTAAATAAACAATGATTTTCTCTTAACAATTTATTGAATTTTGTACCCGAAAATTGGTTAGCTAATCGTAACCCAGTCGTTGTTAACTTCATTAATACACTTACTTGTAATGATAATAATAACCGTAATTATACTACAAGTGAAAAGCTATTTAAAAAGATAGTTGCAATTGATGCAATATATGGGTCAAGGCATAATAACTATGTGTCTGAAATAAATCTCACCATGTCCAGAATTAAATATTTGCTAGCACGATCTAGAACAATTATTGATATCAACAATCATATAATTAGTTCTGGAAGTTATACAAAATTCATTAATTGGCTAGAATCGTTAGCCATTGAACAAGAACCTTTACCTAAGAGACTTCTATTTATAGCTTTCGATAATAAACAAGGAGGTCAGCATAATTATTTTGATCGTGGATATAATATGGTCATTTATTATACAGTTACGAGTTTCATTGTACTAAATATGAATAAAATTAACCAAGCACAATTTACAACTACCTCTTTGCTTTATAATTCACTAAATGATCACCAATATGAAAAGTTATATTATCTTATACCAGAGATGAAGACAGAATGTGATCACGAATTAAATATATACTTAGCTTCAATTTTAAAAGAACTTATTACTGAAAAAAGCCAAGAAAAAAATACAATCAATCAAATTATGAACAATCAAAAAGGCATTGGAAGCTATTCAAAATGGTGTAAAAAATATAACATGACCAATATAAATAATAAAAAACGTACTTGTTCTAAATGTAATGAAAAATTAGATACATTAGCTATCTTACAAGCCAAATCCACTAAAAAATTAACTCAGGTTGATAAAAATATACCTTCTCAATCAGGAACTCCTATAATAAAGATCTATGAATATACTCAAGAAAAAGCTTCTTATTTAGAGCATATTAGTATCACGCAACAATCTAAACCCAATCAAAATGTTGTTATTCCAGAAATGCATATGCCAGATCTGTTGGAAGTTAATCCTAATTCATTAAATAATGTAAAAAAGGTTTTAGAACATATACAAAGTATCACTGAAATCGATGAAGGGGTGAGAAAATGGTAACCTGTTATTTGCGATAGTGTTTTCTATAATCTAGCACAAAAGATTAAAAACAATTTCCCATGGCTTATACTGATTTCCGGAGCCCTGCATAAAGAAATAAACATGCTTAAGGCATTTGTAGAGCTAAATTGATATTATTCCTTCAAGTGAATATCTCAGACTAGAGATTAAGCCTAGGTAAGGATTACTGGGTAGCCCGTATAAGCAACTTTTAATCAGGTCATAGTCATGCTAACCAGGTAACCCGAATAAAAAAAAAAAATAGGGCATTTATAATATGAATTTCTTCCTATTTTTTTTTTTTTTTTTTTATATAAAACAAATTTGAACTAAGTAAAATCTAATTCAGTTTATATTAAGTTTAGCAGAAAATGAATTCGGTTTATGCTAAGCTTAGCAAAAAATGAATTCAGATTATGCTAAGCTTAGCATGAAATGAATTTATTTTATGCTAAGCATAGTATAAACTGAATTCATTTTCTGCTAAGGGGAGTAACAAAAATCAGGTGATTTTTTTGGGGGGGGTAAAAAAAGTTAAAATTATATATAAAGACCTGATTAAATATATAATAAGAAGGGGGGAGGGAGGTATGCCTCTGATAAAAAAAAATCAGGTGATAAATGACACTGCCCTAAGCTTAGCAGAAACCAAATTCAGTTTCTACTAAGCTTAGAATAACCTGAACTCATTTTATGCTAAGCTTAGCATAAAATGACTTTGGTTAAAAGCTAAAATCCTACATATGCTTATTCTCAAGTATAGCAATAGAAATCTTGAAATTCGGTTAATTTTATGTAATTGTAACCGGATCAACCGGGTTGCTCAGATTATTTGAGGTGAATCGGGCTAAAATTTAGACTGAGCCTAATCTCTATCTCAGACATCTTTTTTGTTTGATACTTAATTAATTTTTTCTAATGCATTTTTAAGTCGATTGATATCAAGCAATTTGCTACTCTTCAAGGATATAGAACTGAAAACCAACTTGAATTTTTTAAAAAATGCGCTGACCATCACAAATCGTGGGACTCGATTTGCAATATTTACCGATATGCAATGTCGTGTGAATTATTATAGTCATACGTAGTTGCAACTAATGATCCTTCTGTTGACGGCTATCTAAATTGGGCAAAAGTACAAAATAACCACATATATAAACTAAAATTTGAACAGGTAAAATTTTAAAGAATTCATAAGTATCTAAAAACATAACTAACAATTGCTAGTATTATAGATATTTACATACCTTCAAGCAATCATTAACTTCCATATGGGAGTTAGAAACAACTGGCCATTATTGATAAATACTGCTCGACGTACGTTTGCACCAATATGGTCTGGTCGTAAACACCCTATCTACCATTTAATTGAGATATCTTATGAGGTACAATCAATGTGGCTAAATCCTAAGATTAGACAACGTATAGAGTTATATTTAGCTATTTCATAATCGGGTTATTCTAACCAGCATCAAGGCCTTGATGCCATCCTTGAAGAAGTAAATAAGTCTTTAAAAGCCCTAATTCCACCCATATCTTCACAAAAACATTGAAGAATAGCAACACGAAATTGTATGAAGTTTATAAAGATCTGCAAAATACACTTAATACAGTAATATTTATCTATTTTTTTCAAAAAAAAAAATTGTATTTATTTATACTTATTTTTTGAAATAATAATTAGTTGTTTTATATATTATTTAATATGATTGAACATACCACTAATGAATCACCGGGAGGTCGGTCACGCCCTGATTATATCTTAGAGTCACAAAAATTTTGAGTTCAATTGCAAAAAATGAAATTTTTAAATCCACAAGATAATAATCGTGTATTTAAAAGTCTTGGAGAAGAGTATTTACTTAGTAAACAACTAAAAAATTTTAGTAGCTTGGCATGTGAAAGGTGAATAACGTTTATTAATGAGGCTTTTAAAAATAACAAGCAAAGTCTTTTACCTCGGCCAATACCTATTACTGCACAAAAAGAAGAAGCAGCCATAAGCAAGGAAAATATGAAGAAAGATGATCTTTTAGTATTTATTAATTCATTATTGAATTCTATTAATATCTCTGATCGTCCAAAATATCGTGGGTTAAAGCAAAAAACTCGTAGCCAATTGCTAGAAATATTGCAAAGTATTAAAAATCTGTACAATGACCAGGATGAACCTGAAAATGAGATAGAACCAGAGAATAAATAATTATAACGATAATTATTAATCTATATTAACAATGTAGCATTGTACCAATAACTGCTTCGAATTTATCAAAAATTAATTTAAAAATATGTGTTACTTACTTGAATACTTATAATCTCATTATCAATAATTATGCTTTCAAAAGATTGAATAAACTACTATTCTCATTAAAAATAAACCCAAAATATACTTATTCGGTTACTATTGTAAGAGACTATGATTTTTCTATTAAAGTTGTAAGAAAAAGATCAAACCAAGATTAGTGTTTTTTAGAGCTTAAAGACAATGAACTCGACGATCTAGGAATTCCAAGTTCTTGTATCACTAGAATTTTAATAAACTCTAATAAAGAACATTATACTTCTCTCTTTATAGTACTTGTTCTTATTGTAGGATTATAAAAAAGCTAGTATACGTTGCTATATTAACTCGAGTAACTCCTCTGCGCATTCTAGAATTCTATGTTAGAGAATTGAATCATAGTATTTTTATTCTAATGCTTTGAGCCATATGCATACAAACAGAAAATTTATTTGCACTCATACCTAATAGCACAGGATTGTTGCTAATACGGATCAGGTAAAAAATTAGACTTTTTGCAGGTACATACAAATGTATATATATATATACCATATAGCCAATCAAATTTAGTTTTATTCTAATTTTTCTAGAAAATTTCTGTGTGCTGTATAGTGCAGATCATTGTGATATTTGGCAATACCAAATTTGGAAATATCTCTGACTATACTTCCCAAACGAGATTGTTTGTTTTGTTGTATTGTTAATCTGCAAAATAGGGTAAAAGCAAATCTCCAAATTTTTCACAAAATTTTAAAAATTCTTAACTAAAATTTGTATTTTCTTGTGTAATATGCAAGAGAGCCTGCTTGAGTCCAAGGCATTTTAACAAAGTCTAGCTGTTTTTTCCTGCTTAATATATTTCCTTAGAGCTGTTTCCAAAGTTTTCTTAGAGTGTTTGT